TTCTTCCGGGGGGGGGGGGCGCTGGTATTTATTTATCCATTCATCTAATTTATACGGCCACCTGTCTATTCAAGAAACTCTGGGTGGCGAACAAATAAAAACACAATTACATTAAAGCAAAAACCAGCTAAACTCTATCGAGGCTCCATAAACGTCAGCCTTTCAAGAGAGACCAGACTAGGAAACCAAAGTTATGAATGCTAATACTACTTTTATTGTACGGTTACAGTAACAGAATCTTGCAAGCCTGAATGCGCCCCCCCCCTTTTATCTTCATGTGAACTAGGGAGGGTCGAATCTGAGACGCTTTCTCAAATTACACTCCTGCTCTGGGCTCAGATTTCTCTTACCTGACCGTTGTCTTGGTTATGGCTCTTCCTCCTGTTCCTCAGGGTCATTCCTACAGCCCATTACAATAAAGCACACACCACTGGATACACACACCTGTGCTAGAGCTCCCAAACTAATGTCCCGCCCCCGATGCCTGGGGAAGAGCCAGGTCTTCACATCCTTGTGAAAGGCCAATAGAATCGGGCTGTCAGTATTCCAAGGGGTAGGTGGTTTCACAGGATAAGTGCCATAACAGAGAAGGCCCACTTCCTAGGCCCCACCCGGTGACATTGCCTCTTTGAAGAGACCTGAAGCGTGCCCACTCTGCCTGATCTCCTGGGCTGGGCTGAAACCACTGGGGAGAGCAGTCCTGCGCGGAAGGCTGACAACCAGCACCCTGAGTTGCACCCAAAAGCCCACTGGTAGCCAGTGGAGCTCATGTAGGAGTGGTATCATGTGGGCGTGCTGTGAAAACAATTTTCTCCTTCAGGGTAATTTGGCAATGTTTAAAAAGCAGTATAAACATCTTAAGGTGAAAGCAGTAAGAAAGGCACATTTACCTGAAACAGCAACCGTAGAGATCAGACAGAATCGGGGGAAAACATTACAGCATAACCTTTATTAACATTTAGCCCAGGCTCCCTTTCACCAGCTGCCCTAAAGAGAAGCTGGATTCTAGCACGCTTACAGTGAAGGATGCCTGTTTTCTCCTGGGCTACAAAAACACTCTGACTATTTGCACTGATAGCTGGCTGGGATTCTCGAAGGAGGCTCCCTTCACTTGGCCCCGCCACCTGCATTTCCTGTAGCTCTTTCAACACTTGTGCAGAGACCTCTTGGCTCTTCGGCTCCTCGTGCTGGTTCTCAAAATGTCAGGAGATAAGTGAGTGCCAGTCTGAATGCGAAGCCTCTCAGAGTGAGTTCCCATTATCAGCCCAGGTTGAATCTGTTCTTCCTCGCTGTTTGCGTGTACCAAATAGCGATTGCATTGTAAATCTTTGTCACACTTCAATGCGCTGCTTTGTTGACTCTGTTCCCATCTTGTCCCACCACCGCCTTCTTTAAAAGGACATGCCAGCCTCAAGAATCTTCAGTGTCTCTGTTTGCCCGTTGTCCGGATGTAACAAAACAATGATTCTCTTCCCAGCTGTGCTGGGATTAAATTGAGACATGGCGCTGTCCTGACTCTCATGCTCAGCCCTGCTCGTAGGCAGGTGGTAGAAGCCATGAAGATGTCATGACGCTCATGACGTCATCATGGCTTGCGTTACCTGCCCATGACCTCGCTAATCAGAGGAGGCGCTTGCTTCTGTCTCTGATGCCAAGTGGGCTGTTCTAAACTGCTGCAGCGCCCAAGGTTCTTAGATTCCCCAGAGAGCTCCCACACTAAGCCGAGGGGATGGAAATCTCTCACCTGTCATGTGTTGATGGACTCCGTCCTATCAGCCACCCTCTGTATGGGCAGTGGTCTGAGATGGCGGGGTGTGGCCCCATTCTGGGGCACCCCTCCAGTTCTCCATCCCTGGTCCCTGTGGGCCTTATGAGCTCTTCTTGTTCCCAGAGATGATTCTAAGAGCACTGATTTGCCCCTCTGGCTACTCTTGCTGCCTTGGGAGTCCTGGGTTAACTGGGCAGCAATGGCTGGCAGTTCAGAAGGTGGTTCTGCATAGGGGAAGGGAGAGCTGAAAGCCACCCCAAATCATGTTGCCAAGTCTGGCTGATTATCCATCTCCTGGCCCCTGGGGACAAGGGAATAATCGTCCCATATCTTAGTCCCGTTTCACTTATCACAACTTGTGATCAAAGTAAAAGCACTTCAGAAGCAACAGCCTCACAGTGGCCAGCAGCGTTGCTAAATCTTTCTCTGCTGCATTTCCTGTCTAAAGGTGCCCAAGTTCAAAGCCCACCCCCTGCCTCAGTTTGACCACATCAGCCTGCCAGAGAAGAAGGTGAAGAGCGCCACCAAGCCAGAGCCCTTCCAGCTGGCGATCGATGCGCGTGGAGCTCTCCGGCAGGAGATGTGGCAGCAGCAGGTAAGACGCAGTGGTGGAGGTCCTGGGTGTCGTTTTTGCCCGCAGACGAGAAGGCTCCGGGGCTGGGTATTGCCCCCGGGCCATGGCTTTGGGTGGAAGCTCAGAAGCAGCCCTCGAAACTTGGGAACATGGTGATCAGGTGACGGTGAGGCTGTTTTCGGTTCTCTTTTCTGACCAAAATTGCTCATCCCTGAGGAGTAAAGATGTGAGCGGGCCTTTTTCCTTAGAGGCGGGCAAGGAGAAGGTGGATAGATGACTAGCCTTGGGGAAAGCATTAAGTGTATGCACACATTATGTCCAGTTCAGAAGCCCACCTCCTCCCGAAGCCCATCTTGCAGTCACTAGGAAATGGATTTGCAGAAATGTGACAGCTGTACTCCAGGGCCCGTGAGACCTGAGTCAGGAGTCAGGGCTTCCTGTCAAACGGCTTTCAGGACATAGAAAAGGCTGGCTCAGATGCCCCTTGTGAGAGTATGGCTCCAGAACAGCCCTGAAGTGTTCGTCGCCCGAACCTGGTCAAGGGTGTTGTGTTCAGGCGCCAACCCAAATCGTTCAGGGGCCTGAGTGGTTTGCATTTCCCACTCAGCCAAAGCAAGCTGCAGTTGGGCTTAGTGCCGTTGTACTACCCATTGAATAAACAGGCCCTTTGCCGGTTCGGCAGAGTTGACCATTGGCACCCAGTCCTTCCAAAATCAAGCCCAAATCTGAAGCTGCTCTCGGTGTGCTGAGATCTCTGGAGATGTGCTGGCTACTAGCTGGATCACACTACTTTTCTGTGATTGGATGTCCCCTTTGATTCCCCTAACCACACACCTACACACTCCCCTAACCACACAACTACACAACCATCTCTCCCACCCAGCTGAAGGAAGAGATGAAGCGGCAGAAAGAGGCCACCTTGTTCAAGGCCCAGTCCAGCAACGTGCTGCACCAGGAACCTTTCGTGCCCAAGAAGGACAGCAAGCTTCTTTCAGGTGAGGTCTCCTCAGGAGTGATCCCCCTGATGTTGCCTGGCACGAGATCTCCTCGTGGAGCAGAGTCTCTTCTCCAGGCACCTTCATGGGCACTCTTTTGCAAACCCACCCCTCCCTCTCTTTTACTCCCCCCAAAAGTTGACTTGTTGCTGCTTTTTCCAAGCCTCGCCCCTGAGGTAAGCCCCTTTGCTACCTGGTGCGAAGTAAAGCCAAAGGGGATGTGCTGGGAGCAATCCAGCTGCGTCTTTTCTGCCAGGCAGGCAGCTCAGACTCTCAACCATTCAAATTTGGGATAAATTCAGTAAACAATATTTATATCTGAAAGTTTACTAATGAAAGAGACAAGCAAATGGTTCTGTTTTCAGCCTCCATGTGCATGAAGGTATGTGGTTTTTACGAATTCCACATGTCTTGTCTGGAAGGCCTAATCCCTTTGTACAGTAATAATCTAAGCCAGTGTTTCTCAACCTTGGCAGCTCGAAGATGGGTGGACTTCAACTCCCAGAATTCCCCAGCCAGCAGGGAGTTGAAGTCCACCCATCTTCGAGCTGCCAAGGTTGAGAAACACTGATCTAAGCTTTCCCGTTTTCTCCACTTGCGTACCCATGCACAACTAAATTATGTGCTGGTCCGATGCCTCGAGGAGGGAGGTTTGCATTCCTACAGGACTAGGACAAATAAACTCCTTGGCATTAGGACTTCCTCATTGTGCTTTTAATTGGTGTCCTTTTTGGGGAAGGGGGTTAGCAGCAACCATCTTCCATGTACGGCTTCCAGGAAGGACACCACCTCAGAGCTGTTCCGTACCAAACGCTAATTGGGCCCATGAAATCCCAGCGGCTACTTGAGAACCGGCGTTCTTTGGGCCTGAACTCACAGGCCTGTTCTTAGGTTACCTCGTGCAGCTGATAGAGTTTGAATGGAAAATGTTACCAGTTTCTGACTTGAGAAAAAAAAGCAGAAGGAGAGTTTTTCACCGGCTAGCTTTCCGAGTTAGTTCTGGGGACGGTTCCCATCTTTGTTGCCTCGTTTCTCCACTCAAAGCAAGTCCTTTCTGGTTCTGCAGCACCTGAAAACTTTGAGCTAGCTACCGAGCGGCGGGCCCGGGAACGGCAGGAGTTTGAGAAGAGGCTGGCAGAGCTGGAAGCTGAGAAGGCACGCCTGCAAGAGGCAGCGCGGCGTGTCGAGGAGGAGCGGGCGAAGGACGAGATGGCGAAGCTTCGCGAAGAGCTGGTAAATGGATCTGTGCCTTTGCAGCGGAAGGGCTGAGCCTTTGAACCTTCCTGTCTCAGAAACCTCCTGGGACTTCATCCCTGGTCCTGCCCTTGGGGGAGCCGCTTGGTCGTTGCTGTTGCCACCCACTAACTACCAGAAGGGTGACCTGACCCCTCCTCCTAACCCAAGCACATTACAGAGATACGGCACCCGCCCTCTGTGTTCCTTTTCTGGCAAATTCAAAAGAAAAAAAAACAGTAACTTTATAGCCTTTTAACTTTATATCCTTTTGGGGAGCCAGACCGATCTCAGAAGAGATCAATAAAATCAAACTTTATTGAACAAAAGGAAAATAGAGAACATAAACATCTGTTTTTCACTTTTAAGTAGTCACATGAAAAACATTTGGTGGCAAAGGCAATGAAAATCACAGAGCTGTTCAAATCATAGCTAATGACTCAAAAGAACCTCACTTAGAAAAAATGTATTTTCCTTTATATTTTTGTGAACAGACCACAAGGTGATGCTGGTCTGCCCCTAATTTAGAAGCAATTCTGCTATAAAGAGGTTCCAAGGTGCATAAAACACAATTACTGAGCTCGTACAGAAGGAATTTTGGACTTAAGCACACAAAATCAAAATCCATCTTAAGCGGTATTTCTAATTAAACATTTTTACCTGTCCCCTTCAGAGCTAATGGCTTTCTGAAACAAATTTCCCTTGACTGCAGTTATTCCTGGACTTCTTCAGATTCCTGGGAATTGTAGTTGGTTAATTCTGAGACTGCTGGGGAGAAGGAACACATTTTCTTTCTCTAATTGTTCCAACTTCTCCCTTGGCAACCCCCTTTTCTGCGTTGCAGAAGTTGAAGTGTCTAGGGATAGTCTTCCTTCCTATGTGACCCCAAGCTTGTGCTTGTTCGGCTTGGTGTGGATCGTAACTTGGGCATGACGGGCTCCCTCTGAATTGGGGGTGGGAGCTTGTCTGCCCAGGTGCTACGGCCTTACTGTAAAAACCAGAAGGGCCTGAAGCGTCCCTCCCTTTCTGTGCAGCTGATCTGGACTTCGCTAGCCTGGTTTGTTTAGTTTTGCAGTAGCCATGGACTTTCACAATCTTCTCTAGAGATGCCTTGGTGGGAGATGCTGGGCTGAATCGGAAGCTGCTTTTGAGGCAGAAGATGTGATACCACAGGGCAGCGTTGCTCAAACTTGGCAGCTTTAAGAGAGGTGGATTTCAATGCCCAGAATCCCCTAGCTGGCATCTATGGACTTCAACTCTGGCTGGGGAATTCTGGGAGTTGAAGTCCACCCCTCTTAAAGTTACCAAGGTTGAGAAACCCCACCTTAGACGGTGTCTTCAGCAAGCACGTCTCTCTAGGGCAGGCAGGGCCTTCTGCTGGGGAATCACGGCCACCAGAGCTCTCCTCCTTTCTCACTGCAGGTGCACAAGGCCAACCCCATCCGCAAGTACCAGAACGTGGAGGTCAAGCCCAGCGACCAGCCTCTGACCGTTCCAAGATCTCCCAACTTCTCCGACAGGTTTCAGCGTTGATGTCAGATGATCCCGCGCCCGTCTGGTTGCGAAAGGGGCAGGGGGAAGCCTCCCCCTCCCCGGCCTGGGTCGTTTTTCACTTAGCTAGTCCAGACGCAAACTTTTCTGAACTTGTGGCTCAGGCCCGAGGCTCTTTGGGGCACATTTTTACTAGGCTCGCTCCTTTGGGATGAGCCTCTTTTTGTATTTAAGTACGCCAATAAACAATTGTATACACGAGCAAAATGAGACACTACTTCTGGAAACCTTTCTCTCGGCCCTTCGGGAGGCCCAGCTGTTATTTCCCTGTGTCCTGGGTATGAAACCTAACCCTAAAAACGTATCAGGTGCCCCCACCCGCCCTGCTTTGTAAATAGCCTCTCTTGGCTGTGAATGGCCAAGTAAAGAACTCCTGGTTTTTGTGAGTCCCGGTTTCCTGGCTGGACATCTGTGTCTTCGTTGCTGGCTAGGGGCCGTGTTTTAAATAAACCTGTGCAGTGTTGTGAAGTTGAAACGCTTTCCGACTGCGTGCTGTCTTTCTCTGGCTGGAGTGCGTAGACTGAGTCTGAGGGGCGGGGAGGGACCCTAGAAGCTGCTCTTTCCTTTTGGCAGCTGCAACAGAAGCACGCCCTTGCTGGGTGGGGCAAACTCTGGATCTGTTTCTGAGCCCACGGGTCTGGGTGCTCCTCCCCACCGGCCGCAGTCCGATTAATGTTGCCGTCTTGCATTCCACCCCTTTGAATCGAGCTCATCTCCTGGTGACCCCAGGGGCACGGCCCAGCGGTTTTCTTGGCAACGCGTGTGCCAAAGTGGGCTGATCTCAGGAAAGCTGAGCAGAGTTGGATCTGTGGATAATCACAGTCGTAGGATTGTGGAGGTGGAAAGGATCCCAAGGGTCATCTAGTCCAACCCGCTGCAGTGGGCAGGAAACCAGCTAAACCATCCTTGGGGGGGGCTGACCACCTCTTCTTAAAACCTCCAGAGATGCCTCATAGGCAGATCGTTCCACCATCAACGTTCTTAACCTCAGGAAGTTTTTCCTTATATTTAAATGAAAATCTAAGTAGCAGCAACTTATACCCATATGGGAGGTCATTAGTAAATCCCAGGGCTTCATACTAACTGGGAAGTTGGGAAGATATTTGAAGACCAACTGGAAGCTACAACTGGTCCGAAAGCTAGCAGTGCACACAGTGTTGGATGCCCCTAGGTTTGCCCACATTACACCTCTGTTGCGCAAGCTGCACTGGCCCCCGTTTACTTCCAGGTGCAATTCAAGGTGTTGGTTAATACCTTTAGAGCCCTACGTGGCACAAGACCAGGTAATCTGCAGGGCCCCCTCTCCCTGAGGGCATCTGCCTGTCCCCCCAGGCCCGTGGGGTCCGGATTCCTTCCCTACAGCGTTGCACCTAGTGGGACCTCGGAAGCATGGCGTTGCACAGCTGCCCCTCCCTTGCGGAACCCCCTCCCCCGGTGATCTGGCAGGTCCCCACCCTTCTAGCCTCCCAGGCCTGGCTCTTTGCCCAGGCGCTGGGGCAGAGGGATGGGAGCCTCTAGCTGGCTGCTGGAGCATCCTAGGAGGTGACTGAGGCACCGGTTTTCTTCTTGCTTTTCGTTCCATTTTTTAGGGTGTGCAGTTCTCTCATTTTTGCCAGCTGCCCAGAGTTGTGCTCTATTAAATAAATAAATATTCCGGGAAAAGACAGTGGCAAACCACTTCTGCACTGATGCTGAAGAAATCCACAGAATCAGCGGAAGTCCCATTAAACGTGAAGGAGGTTTTACTCTTCCGGTTCCACCCTCCTCTCCTGGAGCCGATCAGAGCAACGCTTGTGCTTCGGGGGTTCCTTGGCAGGTCCCAGGGTGAGCCCAGGCCCCCCTCCTGCCTCCTTTGAACTGTCTCAGTGCTCCATTCAGTCGCAAACCCCAGTTTATTCCAAGCCTCCTTCAGCCCTCGTATGCGGGAGGACTTTTGGATGCCGTGTGGTTTAGGACTCCCTGCCTCTTCATGGCAAGCTGTGTCTTCCAAACCCAAAAGTTTTTGCTTACTTTATGCCAGTTAGAACTAAACCTGCCCTTGTGATCAACCTTGCCTTGCAAGAACCTCCAGGATGCATATGTTGAGTTTTGACTCTCGTTAAGGGGGCATCCAGCTGGCTCTGACTGAAAACCTCTGCCCGCTGCAGGCTGGGCAAGGGTAACCCTGGGCCAGTGATTTAGGTTCAGGCATCAGACTCGGGCTGCTCAGGAACAGCCACAAACAGATGGCCAGACCTGATGCTCAGTAGAGGTGACCGTGAGGATGTGAGAAGAGAGTCTGGACAAGCCAAAAGCCGGAAACCCTCAGCCCAGCAGCACCCTTCATCTTGGCTCCTTGGCATTCAGAGATAGCCTGGGTCTGGAGACAGACGGTTAGCTAGAACTTGGGGCCTTCTCAGCTTAAGTTCCCACAAACTCATCTCGTCCACAGCCCAGCGTGTCTACAAATAACTTTTAAATAGGCAGTTCCCTTTTCTATTTGTACAATTGGCGTCCCCACTTTGATACAGCTCAGGGCACGGTCCCTCCTCCATTTTTCCCTCTACTACCATTGCCTTCCTAGGAGCCACTGGCCGGGGCCCTTGAACCTGGTTCTCCCTAGTCCTAGACCCAGCCTCCAAGCCCTCCCCTTAGGAAAAACGTTGGAAAGCCAGCGCCCTGGTTCTCCACGCTGCTGCTTTTCGCGCCCCTTGGCTTCGCCCTGGATCCGCATGACAAGGCTGCCTGATGCCAAAGCCAGAGTTTGTATGCATTCCAGGGTATAGAAAGGAAAAACACTGGGCCGGAATGTGTGCAGCGAAAGACCCGAGATGCTCTAGAGTCATAATGTGCTGGCGTGGAGAAAGTTTCTTTTTTTAGTGTGCCGAGAGGGCACTAAAGCATTGTTGATCGGCAGGAGGGTGGCCAACGCGTTCTTGCACCTCCTTGAATCGTCCAGACGGTCCCCACCGCTCTCCTTGGCCGGGGAAGCCCCCCGCGCCGATGGGAACCGCATCCTGCCCGTCCGGGCAAGGCGCTGGAGTCACAGCGCAGCAGCGGCTGGGCTTCAGGTAAGGGTCACGTCTCCCGTGGCGCGTGTCCCACCCAGCCGCCTCACAGCGCGGCCGGATTTAGCAGAGGGATCAGGTTTCCCTGAGAAGGGGATGAGGTCTGGCTGCCCAGCCAGCTTTCTCAGCCCCATGGAAAGAGCAGAAAGGTTAAAGGGTGCCCTGCTGCGGGCTGTGACGGCAGCGTAGCCAGGGGAACGGGCATGCTTGACGCCGGGCCAGCTCTCCCAGGACAGGGCGCTCTACGGCTGGCTTCGTTTCCCTGCTTCCCAAAGAGTGAGCTTTTCGGGGTTGGGCCCCGGATGATCTTTTCAACAGGCAGAGGGGGAATGCCATCTCCAGCCCTTTGCTTAAGGGACAGAGGTCTTCGCTTAAGGTACAGAGTGCTTTGTCCTGGAGGCTCGACTGGGTCTGGTACACACACACACACACAGAGGGAGGGAGAGGCCTTCACCACCCCCCTTGCAGAGCAAAAGCATCGTTTCACTTTGCTCCTTCTGTCTCGTGGCTGCCAAGTTGCTGCACTGTTGCTCAACCTTGGCGGCTTTCAGAGGTGCGGACTTCAATTCCCAGAATTCCCCAGCCAGCTTTGCTG